TCTCAGTCCTGATGTACCGACTGCCTATCTCGTTTCTTGAAGTCCTAAAATGCCAGAACAAATACCCCCAAAATAGCCTCTTTTTGGAAGACAGACAGCCCAAGGTATTTGTAAAAGGCATGGGGAGTTTTTTTTTAAAGTTGTAATTTTTTAATCACAATTTTTTTAAAAAATGAAGAATTTAAATTATACTTTTTTTTTTTTTTTTAGTAATGTCACCAGAGCAGTACAGAGTCATATGACTGGCGTGGAGGAGAACAGGGGCACTGACTGGTGACAGTATGTTAACATTTTCTTTTTTTACTGTGACTGGAGAAGTACAGCCATAGTGACACTAATGCTCTGGGGAGGTCATGATTATTTTTTTTACACTATAATTACCTATTACAGTGATGTGTAAAAGTTATAGAGTTTACAAAAAAAAAAAAGTATATATATATATATATATATATATGTATAAATATATATATATTTGAAAATTGATCAGTGATCCTGATGTACTGCCTGTCTAACTCATTTCTTGAGGTCCTAAAATGCCAGGACAGTACAAATACCGCCAAATTACTCCTTTTTGGAAAGCAGACAGTCTCAAGGCATGGTGAATTTTTTGAAGTTGCAATTTTTGTCACAATTTTTTGGGAAAATTAAGACATTAAATACATTGTTTTTCTTTCACAATTTTATTCTTACATACTGTCAGTCAACAGAGCAGTACAGTATCACCATAGTGACACTTTCTTTTTTACACTATGATTGCTTATAGTGATGATCACTGTTATAAGCTATTTTTATGAATAGCATCCATTCATTTGCCATTGTGTACAAGTGTGATAGCTGTGATTGGCCACATCCATCAATTGGTACAGGGGCACCGTGATTGACCTTGTAATCACTGTGATTGGTCACATGGTACCAGGGCTAGCCCGGTACAATGACTTGTCTTCCTCTGTGTCTGGTGGACACAGCAGGTGACAGATTGTGCTGATGTGCAGCCCCCAGGGCATGCATGAGGTGCGCACCTGGAGGACATCATGATGTCGGCCATTATAATTGCCTGGGCAGGAGGTGGTTAATGACACCTTACTGACTAGAATGGTACTAATTGGCACAGAGCAAATGTACCAATTTACAAAAAAGAATCAAGATTCATATCAGGAAACTACAGACAAGACAGTCTAACATCAACAGTATGTAAGGTAATTGAAAGAATGTTAAAGGACTCCATACAGAAATATGTCTGTGATGAACATATTGTAACAACCAGCATGGATTTATGGAAGACCATTCTTGTCAGATCAAACTGTTATTGTTCTATGAGGAACGAAGTGAGAACCACGCAAAGTCTACTTGTTACCAATGTTGAAATAAAATGATATCTGGGTGGCAGTGACCATAACATGATTTAATTTAATGTTAGCTGTAAGCAACAAGCACATACTGCAAAGATAAAAACACAACTTTAGGAGAGAAAATTTTCCAAGACTCAGGGTTGTCCTCCAAAACTTTTAGAGGGAATATGGTCATTGAAGAATAACAGAAATACGAATGCTTCAAATCAACTGTAAGCAAACACACTGCAAAATATATTCCCATGTGCAATTAGTTTAACATGCTAAAAAAATAGCAACGTATGCAATGTATTCTTTTATGCCTCAAACTCAAGATTAACCCTGCCAAATGTCCTTGAGAAACTGAAGCATTATGGGGATCTGTCAAATTTCAAAGTCAATGCAATTAGGTCAGAGATTTCAAATATTTTGGCCTTTAGAAAAGAACAGAAGGCAATACAACCAACATTTCCCTTTACTTGGCATAGTAAGGAACTCAGATACCTAGGCATAAAATGGACAGCTTAGTTTGGTGACTTAAAGAAATGTAACTACATTTCACTACTTAATTCAGTTAAATAGGAGTTGAATTCCTTAGACACAGACAAATTTCGTGGCTGGGTAGAATCAACAGTTAAAACGAGAATACTTCCCAAGATGCTTTATAAATTCCATTATTTCAGGAAATTAAGATCAATTAGATTGAAATTCATATGGTCACATAAGCGCCTTAGGATCCCTTCTGCAGTGATGGCTAAGGCAAAGGAGGAATAGGTTTGCTGGATCAAAAAACGTACTATCGAGCAGTAAATATTTCACAATGTTTGGGTTAACAACAGTGTTATATTCATAGACAAAAACATTTTCTAGTGGTGCACCGAAATGAAAATCCTTGGCGTGAAACCAAAACTTTAGGATGCATTTGGCCAAAAATCAAAATGGACAGTTTGGATTAAAAAAAAATATTTTTTATATATATACAGTATCTCACAGAAGTGAGTACATCCCTCACATTTTTGTAAATATTTTATTATATATTTTTATGTGACAACAAAAGTGGAACTGTAAAAAACAGTAGCACCATATGAGGGGGAAGGAATTAGTAACCATTAGATTCAGTCCACTAACTCACCAATTAGGTGTGGGTCAGAGTACTTAAAAGCATACACCAGTAAAATATTTAGGGACGAACCCCTAAAGGAAAGAAGGTACTACTCTGACCCAGGTAGTTTGACTGAAAAAGTTTAGCTTCATTGAAAACCATATGTAAATGAAACATCATGGAAATGCACATTCAAGAGATTTATTAAGTCTCCACCCGTCACCATTAACTGCTTAAGGACTGCCCTATAGTAGATATACTGCCCCTGTGCGCAAAATCATGTACATACAGTATCTCACAGAAGTGAGTACACCCCTCACATTTTTGTAAATATTTTAGTATATCTTTTCATGTGACAACACTGAAGAAATGACCCTTTGCTACAATGTAAAGTTGTGAGTGTACAGCTTGTATAACAGTGTAAATTTGCTGTCCTCTCAAAATAACTCAACACACAGCCATTAATGTCTAAACTACTGGCAACAAAAGTGAGTACACCCCTAAGTGAAAATGTCCAAATTGGGTCCAAAGTGTCAATACACCCCTAAGTGAAAATGTCCAAATTGGGTCCAAAGTGTCAATATTTTTGTGTGGCCACCATTATTTTCCAGCACTGCCTTAACCCTCTTGGGCATGGAATTCACCAGAGCTTCACAGGTTGCCACTGGAGTCCTCTTCCACTCCTCCATGACGACATCATGGAGCTGGTGGATGTTAGAGGCCTTGAGCTCCTTCACCATCCATTTGAGGATGCCCCACAGTTGCTCAATAGGGTTTAGGTTTGGAGACATGCTTGGCGAGTCCATCACCTTTACCCTCAGCTTCTTTAGCAAGGCAGTGGTCAGCTGGGAGGTGTGTTTGGGGTTATGTTGGAATACTGCCCTGTGGCCCAGTCTCTGAAGGGAGGGGATCATGCTCTGCTTCAGTATGTCACAGTACATGTTGGCATTCATAGTTCCCTGTAGCTCCCCAGTGCCGGCAGCACTCATGCAGCCCCCAGACCATGACACACCCCCACCATGCTAGACTATAGGCAAGACACACTTGTCTTTGTACTCCTCACCTAGTTGCCGCCACACACACTTTGACACCATCTGAACGAAATAAGTTTATTTTGGTCTCATCAGACCACAGGACATGGTTCCAGTAATCCATGTCTTTAGTCTGCTTGTCTTCAGCAAACTGATTACAGGCATTCTTGTGCATCATCTTTAGAAGAGGCTTCCTTCTAGGACAAGACATGCAGACCAATTTGATGCAGTGTGTGGCGTATGGTCTGATTACTGACAGGCTGACCCCCCCACCCCTTCAACCTCTGCAGCAATGCTGGCAGCACTCATACCTATTTCCCAAAGACAACCTCTGGATATGGCGCTTAGCACGTGCCTGTATGGTCTTAGCCCACCGTGCTGCAGCTCAGTTTCAGGGTCTTGGCAATCTTCTTATAGCCTAGGCCCATCTTTATGTATAGCAACAATTCTTTTTTTTCAGATCCTCAGAGTTCTTTGCCATGAGGTGCCATGCTGAACTTCCAGTGACCAGTAAGAGTGATAACACCCAATTTAACACACCTGCTCCCAATTCACACCTGAGACCTTGTAACACTAAGGAGTCACATGACACTGGGGAGGGAAAATGGGTAATTGGGCCCAACTTGGACATTTTCACTTAGGGGTGTACGCACTTTTGTTGCCAGCACTTTAGACATTAATGGCTGTGTGTTGAGTTATTTTGAGGGGACAGCAAATTTACATGTTATACAAGTGGTACACTCACTACTTCACATTGTAGCAAAGTGTAATTTCTTCAGTTTTGTCACATGAAAAGAGATAATAAAAATATTTACAAAAATGTGAGAGGTGTACTCACTTCTGTGAGATACTGTATAAATGTACTATATTAGACTTTTTAGATATCATGAATTTAAATGAATATGAATTTTATTTTTAGCACCTTTTGGCCAATAGGCTGCTTTCACACTAAGCAGTTTTTGCAGTGCTTTTGTGTTTAAAGTAAAAAGAAAAACAAAAACAAATGGCACAAGAAAAGCTCAAGAAAGATGCATCCCTTTAAATTCCCTTGTTGGTGCATATTTGGGGAGTAAAAAAGAAAAAAAAAAAAACGCACCTCCCATTAACCATTAGCCGCCCGCGGCGGCTTCAGATGTGCCTCTTCATTCCGGGTGCACGCCATTTGGCGTGCTCCCGCACATGCGCCGTTTGCGGTAATGCAGAGCGGCGCAGCAGCGGGATCTGTCACGGGCCGTGCACCTCGGACACGGCCGATGACAGATCCGAGTACCGGCTCCCGTTGCTGGTACCATGTGACCTGCTGTGACCAATCACAGCAGGTCACATGACAGTTGTTTTTTTTTTTTTTTTTTTATTTAAATATTTATTAAATTTTTTCATGTTAATACAAAAACCCATAAAGGGGAAAAGATTCTCATACACATAAATATTTATAACATTTCTACCTTTCTCTTTCTAAAAAACTCTTTTCTTTCCCATCCCACTGCCCCCCCTTTCCCCCCCTCCTCTTCCCTCCTCCCCCTCTGCAGACTCTAGCCCATTTTGCTCTCTTGAGGTTTATTGATTTTTTACTAACATCCTAGTTCATATTTTCCTATATTTTTCTTTCAATCCTGCTCTTTCCCATTTTTCCCATCTCCTGAAATAAACTCTCATCCTATCTTCCTGCATATGGTATGTTCTTTCCATTCTACTTATCTGGTTCACTCTGTTGATCCAGTCATCCTCCTTCGGTACCTCAGATTTCCGCCAAAACTTGGGTATCAACCCTTTTGCCGCATTCAATAAGTACCATATACCTGAATCTTTATGTTTATTTACAGATGTCTCCACATTGTGTAGGAGGCACATCATTGGGTCTAACCCTATGTCAATTTCAGTTATATCTTTGATCAATTTGACTATTATCTTCCAGAAAGCTTGGATTTTCGGACATTCCCACCATATGTGGAACATCGTGCCTATATCTCCACATCCTCTCCAACACAGATTTGAATTTTCACCACTCATCCTGTGCTCTACACTCGGTGTAATGTGCCAACGTGTCACGCACTTATAGTTAACCTCAACCTCTCTCATACTAACATTATCGTGTATCAATCTAAACATCTTTCTCTGTCTAACTTCATCAATCTCCACTCCCATATCTCTTTCCCATTTTGTTATAAAGATTAACTTTGTGTTTGTGTCTAATTCTGTGAGTATTCTATACACTTTTGAAACACCGTGCTTCCCATCCCTTCGTGTCTCTAACAACCTTTCAAACATATTCCACTCCTCTTTTGATCTCAGGGGTTTCGGTAGATTTCCAATAAAACATTTCAGTTGATGATATTTTCCACTCATCTAATCTAATAAAAATATCTCCCTTCTTCTCTATTAAATCTTTTAGTGATCTCAATTCCCCCTCCACCAAAACATCTCTCAATTGAGTATCTTCCTTTCTAAACCATCTCCCTGATATCTTAATCTTTCCCGGGGGAAAGTACTCAGTGTTTGTGAGAGGCATTAATATAGAATTAAAATCCCATTTCATGCTTTTGTGTAAGTTATCCCATACCCTAAATACATTTAAAGTGTAGATACTTGTGCTTTCTTTAATTCCCCTGAACTGTGGTGGAACCCATATCATCTGACTCAATCTAATGCCACTAAGATCATTTTCAATTGTTACCCAGCTTTTCCCCTTATGGTTAAATGTCCAGTCATATATTCTTGCTAAAACCACTGCTTTATAATATCTCTTGACATCTGGTAGACCCAATCCCCCTTTCTCTTAAGTCCTACTCAATGTTTCATATGCTATTCTAGGTTTTTTATTTTTCCATATGTATTTTGTTAGTATTTTTTTTATTGTCTTGAAGAAGGCTTCTGGAATTTTAATTGGTACCATTTGAAATCTATACAGTATTTTAGGCAGGATTACCATTTTAACTAGGTTTATACGTCCTATCCAGGATGGGTTTCCTCCTTCTAATCTTTTTAAATCTTCTCTAATCTCATTTATCAAAGAGATATAGTTTAATCTATACAAATGCTTAGATGAGGCAGTGAGTTTTATTCCTAGGTATTTTTATCTCTTTTTCTCTCCATATAAAGGGGAATTCTTTTTGTAGTTTTTCTTTTCATTCTTCGATATATTAATATTCAAGATCTCTGTTTTTGTTGGATTAATTTTTAAATTTGATAGTTCACCGTACTCCTTCAGAATCTTCATTATATTTGGGAGAGTTATTCGGGGATTCCCCACATAGAACAATAAGTCGTCCGCAAAGGCCGCAACTCTATGTTCTATGGATTCTATCTGAATTCCCTTTACCGCTCCACTATTTCTTATTGTTGACAGCAGAGGTTCGAGTGACAATACATATAGCAGAGGGGACAATGGACATCCCTGCCTTGTACCATTAGACATTCCAATGGGTTCTGATCTTTCCCCATTTACCGTGATGATTGCAGTGGGTTCCCTATATAATTTACTTATCCACTCTCGCATTCTATCACCTATTCCCAGCACTTTTAAGCTGTCCATCATAAAACCCCAGTCCACTCTATCAAATGCCTTCTCTGCATCAATTGACAAGAGCACCACCGGGGCCTTCCCTTTTCTACTTTTCTGAATTAGCATCAGGGTTCTCAGGCCGTTATCTCTACCTTCTCTCCCCGGTACAAAGCCCACCTGGTCTCCATGGATCCATTCAGGCATAAGATCTCTCAACCTGTTTGCTAACACCTTTGCATATAGTTTAGTATCTGTGTTCAATAATGAGATAGGTCTATAGCTGGAGCACTGAGACGGATCTTCTCCCTCCTTGTGGATAAGTACTACATGGGCCTGTAGGGATTCTCTCCTCACTTTCATCCCACCTCCCAGGGCATTCATATATTTCTCCAACTTGGGTAACAGTACTTCACTAAATTTCTTATAGTATTTAACTGTATAGCCGTCCGGACCTGGGCTTTTCCCCCCAACTGTGCCTTTTAATGCTATTTTAATTTCTTCCCGGGAAATTTCTGCATCTAGGGTGTTCAGCTGTGCTTTACTTAATTTTGGTAATCCCGCATTTTTTAAGTATGTCATCTTTTTTTCATTGATTCCCTCTTGAGCTTCTTTTAGGGGGCCTTGGGGACTAATATTATATAACTGTTTGTAATACTCCGTAAACACTTTAATAATCTCTTTATTTGAATGGACCAGCTCCCCCTTTGAACTTTTTATCTTTTCTATATAGTTCCTATTTTTCTTTTTATTCAGGGCTCTCATTAGATATCTTCCTGGTCTATCTCCCCATCTATATCTCTCGTTCAAAACCCTGTTGTATACTCTTCTCTTCTCCTCGTCCATCAACCTCTCTAGTTCATCTTTTTTATCCAATAACTTCTGTCTCGTATCTTTTGTTATTTTCTTCTTATGAATCTGCTCCAAGTCCAATATTTCTTTTAAAAGCCCACTGACCCTCTCCCTTCTTTCCTTTTTCTTCCTTGCTCCTGCCGCTATCAAGATTCCTCTTATAAATACCTTGTGGCTTTCCCAGACTGTAGCTATCGATACCTCCTCTGTTTCGTTCTCCTTAAAGTATAACTTTATCTCTTTCTCGATTTTCTGAACTAAATCCTCATCCAAAAGAAGAACCTCATTTAACCTCCACCCTAATCCTCCAGTCCACCTTCTTCCCCCATCCCATTTTCATTACTACCGGAGCATGATCCGAGAACGTCCTTGTCTCTATGTCAATTTTAACCAGATGGTCAATAAGTTGGTGATCTATTAAGATGTAATCTAATCTCGAGTATATCTCATGTGCATTAGAGAAGAAGGTATAGTCTCTGTCCTTCATATGCTTTATTCTCCAGGTGTCCACTAGTTGATATTCATGCATCACTTTTTTCAAAGCTCTCAGAGACCTACTCCCCTCTCTTTGCACGGAAGAGGTATTATCCTTTTGTGGGTCCATACAGAAATTTAGGTCTCCAGCTACTATCAGGCACCCTTTTT